TCCACATTTAATATGTAAAAAAAGAGAGGAAAAAGTCAATTCATTTTGAAAATTAGTTCTCAAAATTAACGCCATCATTATTCTTAATTATAGGTAAATTTGGTCGAGCTCGAACTAATTGAATTGATCCTAGTTCGGTTCGTAGCATTAGCATCTGTAATTTCCTCCGGCTTGCCATGAATTTATGATGATTTCATTGGGAACGTTTAATTAACATAGTACTAAAACGTACGGTGGGAAAAAAAAATGCTAGAGACTAGATAGGGGAAAAGAGTTGATTTAATGCAAGAAATGATGAAACTGTGGCCAAGTCGTTGATCATAATCATAGATTTAAACATTTGCATTGATGTCTTTGAACTCCCTTCTTCACCTCCACATTTTTGCGGCTAAATTGCAGCTATTAAAGACTAGACTAATAACCACCCTGCCTTGAATTTTAATGTTAAGAAGCAGTTGTATGTATAATAATTCTAAATCTAAAAGAATAATGAACGTCACCGGTTGCATTCGCCAGCACACTATCATAAGCAAAAGCAATCACAAGATTGCATCATGCATTGTGTAGAAAAATAGGCCAACCAGCATTTAGATATGCTATGTGTAGTGGCAGTAGTCCGAGATCACAATCCGATCTCACACAGCCCGAGGTCGAGTACCTCGGGTGTCTGGACTTATCTCCAACCTAGTCACCTTGGCAATTAGGAATGAGCTCGACCGAGCTCGAGTTCATCCCCCTTAATGCTACTCTACAGTAACTCCGTACACGCAAGGATACTATAAGGAAACCTTATGGGATCATTGACACATACAATCTTGATTTCTCGTGAAGAGCAACACGTGGATGCTCCCTTTGAAGGCTATAAATACCTCCCGAGGGTCCTTTCTAAAGGTAATGGAAAACCGAACTCAAGCTCAGCTCTTGATTCCCATTTGGTAGCTCTGATTACTGCTGACTTAGGCATCGGAGTGTCTACCCCGGAGACCTACCTTGAGGCTTTGCAGGTCCATCGAAGTAAGTAGGCCGGGATCAGAAGTATTCTAATTTTCTTGCAACTACACTATGTGATTCAAATGGTGAATTCGCAATGTTTAGAGCCCAATAGTGACTAAAATACCATGAAAAACAATAACACCATACAAACTTTCTTGCAAGGACTAATAATTATACATTGTAAGCAAATCCACTGCTGAAATATGTATTTGTCAGAAGAAAAAGACTTACTCCTTGTTCTATTTCTATGGAGTAGTAGCTATAGCCAGGGTTGATTCATCTCAAAGATTAGCAGTTCAACTAAGGGTACTGGTTAGTATATTTCCCAAATCAGTAATCTCTCGATTACCAATTTACCTCATAGCTCTAGAAATTTCTCAATCAATGGGGATTTGTGACTCAGCCATTCCATATCCATAATCCCCAAATTTATAAAAATAAATTACAGCTTCACCTAGTAATGGAACTTCCAAAAGAACCAAGAAAAATCCAACTCAAAAAACTGGGACCTGAAGATGACCACTAAGGCCAAACATGCTCCTCCAGCAGGTCAACTCAAACAGGCAAACCAAAAAGATTGAACAAGAGAACTGAAGCTTAGCAGTTTTCTTAAGAAAAATATTTGCCCACAGAAATACAACATACTAGTGCTCCATTGAGGAGCAAGGAGGAGCAGAGGGTAAAATTTGTGATGGAAATTTTGGAGCAATCCATGAAAGCAGAGGAAGGATAGAGTAGAGCTCTCATGTAGATTGCATGTTAGGCCCGATAAATTGTGAGTTTAAAAGTAAAATTATACTAGCATTTGGATTAATCGATCTCTACTTATCATTTTCTACTCTTTCCGTTGAATTTTAAGTGATTTAGATTTTTCTTTTTAATAAAATAAAAATATAATAATATATTAATAAAATTTTATATTTATTTTTAATTAAGTACCCCACTTAAATAAAATTGAGCGATGCTATAAAACAACTTTTTTATATCACTTTTTATATAATTTTTTTATCAAATTTTTACATATTATTAAATAAATGAATATATGGATCTCACATAAATAAAAAAATAAATAATTTAAATAACACGTTAAATTATACAAAAAGATAGTACAAAAAATTTGTTTTTACATATTATTAAATAAATGAATATATGGATCTCACATAAATAAAAAAATAAATAATTTAAATAACACGTTAGATTATACAAAAAAATAATACAAAAAATTTGTTTTAAAATCATTTCCCAATAAAATTTTTTATTTAATACTACCTTTTTAACTTTAACAAATTAATTTAGTTTTCCTATCTAATAAAATAAAAAAGAAATAATTAATTAATAAAATTTTTTGTTTATCCTTAATTAATCACTACTTAAATAAATCATGACTAAATTTGGGCCCATCAGATTAGAAATTAGATTTATTAAAATTGAACGAAAATAATATTATTTACTTTCTCCATTCATTTTTAATAGATATAATTTTTTTATACAATAAAATAAAAATGTCATAATTTATTAATAAAATTTTATATTTATTCTTAATTAAATACCTTTTAAATAAAATTTTTTATTTAATATATGTTATAATTATTTTTTAAAATGATAGTAAAATAAGAATAAATGTAACAAAAATTAAATTTATTAAAATTAGAGGAAGTATTAATTAATTTTTTCTACTTAGGGGTTGTACCAGATGGATAGAAATTAGTAAAAACTTACACTATTGAATTTTTTTTTAAAAAGTAATTGTCTTTTTTTAATATTTTAAAATATTTTAAGAATAAAAAATATTTTTTTCTTATTTTAACGTTATTGTTATTCTTCATTTTAATTATTTATATTATCACCATTTTTTTTTATTTTAGACAAGGATAAGTGTAGTATATTAACCCAAAATCCTACAAGGAAAACTGTACATCACCTTACCAGGGATACCAGGTGCTGTACATTTAGTTTGAATAAGCAAATAAAAAAGAACCAGTGTTATTGACAATATTACTATCACCATATTTTCGTTTTATCATTATTTATTTTTTAAGAATAATATAAATTGTTTATAAATTCTAAATTTAAGGACAAAAATAAAAAAATGACTATTATTATTATTTTAAGAGATTAATATTTATCCATCTTATCTCTTAA